ATCCTTACTCTATTTTGTGTTCCCTATCATCAGCTTCCTACTCCCCTTCTGCCTTCTGGGCCTTGTCACTGGACTCCTGTACCTCGTTACTCTCATGTAAAACCTCTGATCTTTAAAGAAATTATCTTTCAAGTACACATCCTTCTTTAGTTTTCAACCAATTCTTTGGCTCTCTTTCACAGAAAAGCATCCTGAAACAGATGTGTGTGGTTGCTGTATTCGCCTCTTTACCTTGTGTTTCTCTACAGCTCACTCCGAAGAGTCTTCTGTCTCTACCACTCCACTAAATGTGCCCTTGTCCAGGTACCCAGCCTCCAGCAATATGCTTCTCACCTGGAATTGCCACCAGCTGTGGTCCTTCCCCGGGCAGTTCTAAGTCCTGGTCTCCTGGGGAGAGTGACTCCAGCTCTAATGACTTCAGAAGATTTAAAGAAAAGGGAAGGGTAATGAAACAAACCAATTAAGTAACAGGAAACCAGGCGTGCTTGAAAATGTGGCCCAAGGAATATACCCACCCAGGATATGTCTTAACAGCATTTGGGGAACAGGCTGTTCCCTTTCAGAAATTCAATTATCTGACTGTTTTCCTCAACCTCAATCCTCTGTGGGATACAGATGTTCAACCCTGTCGATATCAAGGGTCAAGAAATCTGGGTGCCCAGACCTCTCCCCGCTCAAGGAATCAAGAAAAATAAAGGGGCAAGTAATGCAAGATGCTTGCTGCATCTCTATCCCTCCCTTTCCTTCTTCTTCTCTTCTTCTCTCTTCTCCTCCCTTCCCTCCTCTTCCCTCTCCTCTCCTACTCTTTTGGGGGTGCCTGAAATGAACAATTCTCCTCCAGTGAGATAAGAGTCAGAAGCAAACAGTGAAAGGCAAAGATGAAGATGAAAGGGTAACACAGAGAGAGAGATAAGGGAGGAAGAGAAGCTGAGAGAGTTAGACAAGACAGAGCACCACCTACCCACCCACACACCACTTCTAAGATTTTTGCCATAATCCTTTGATCCTGTGGGAGCTCATGTGTGTTCTTGGCTGCTAACCTAAAGGTCAGCAGTTCAAATCCACCAGCTGCTCCTTGGAAACCCTATGGGGCAGTCCTACTGTTTCCTATAGAGTTGCTATGAGTCGGAACCAACTCAACGGCACCTAACAACAACAGGCCAAAAAAGTCCCTTGGTGATAAAAAGAGTTAATGCATTTGACAGCTAACTGGAATTTTGGAGGTTCGAGTTCACCCAGAGGCACCTTGGAAGAAAGGCCTGGTGATCTACTTCTAAAAAATAAGCCCTTGAAAACCCTATTGAGCACAGTTCTACTCTGACACACATGGGGTCACCATGAGTTGAAGTCGATTCAACAACAACTTTTTTGGTTTTTTTAGCTCAAAGTAATGGTGATCTTTCTGAAATTGTAAGTCTCATTCAAGGGTATGAAAGTGATATGGGGAAACATCGGAAGAAAGAAGCAGAGACAGAGGTAAAGACAGTCATTCTGCAAACATTATTCCCAAGGCCTTGTATCAATTGAGGTGTTCTCAATTATAAGTAATTTACAATTGACAATTACAATTGCACTTAACAGTGGCTTAAACCAAAACAATATTTATGGTTTACTTTACGAACCTGGGTGTCTTTGTTTCCCTTAAAACATGTAGTTGTGAAAGTTGTGACTCAAAGCTGCCATTACATCAGCTTGGTAGAAAATTCCATTTCTGTCGTCATTGGACCTCCTCACTTCTGCATGGTAGCACCAGAATCCTAGAGGCTTAGGTACTTCCTAGAAATTGTGGGGGGGGAATGTCTTGTAATTTTAGTCTGTCTTGGTCTCTTCTGAAAACCTCATGGCCTGAGCTCACAGTGTCCCTTGAATACCAGAGGCCACATGAATCTGTACCATGACTGGAGTTTGGGGAACTTTGCTGAGCCTGTGGACTTCTTGCCTGGGATCTCACACCCAATACCATCATCCTATCTAAGTTCTGTCCACTTTGAAGGCTCTGTCACATACCTGTGGATGAGTCCCAAATTGCTGCATCTCTTTCCCTCCCTTTCCCTTCTCTTCTCTCTTCTCTTCCCCTCCTTTCTCTTCCCTTCTCCTCCCCTACCTCTGTGGGGGCGCCAGCAGTACACAGTTCTCCTCCAGTGAGTTCCTGCAGAACGGAGTCTAACTTATTCTTCTTTTCCAGCAAGCATCTAGCACAATGCCCTGCACATAAAAAGCCTCAATAAATCTTCACTGAGAGAATCCTTCACATCTGCATAGTCCTTTATACTATTTTATAAAGAGCTATGAAATCTGTTACTTCACTGCGTTACATGAGGTCAGCAGGGTCATTATTTTTTTAAGTTTTCTCATTTTCTCAGTTTTTACATTTGGTAAATGAAATGAGGGAATATTTGTCCTAAGGTTTCACTGTATCAAATTGTCAATCCTGATCACTGCACCAACTCACAGCGCCAAACTGTAGTGCCAAGGTCCAAGGTCTGAAGTCACCAACAAAAGCATGACTTACACACATAGAGAAGAGACAAAGTCATCTTCAATAGTGGTGTTGGTCCTCCATGGACAGCGGGTCTCTCCCCACAGCTGATGCAGGACTGGTGTTCTGCATTTATCCCTCTGTGCTGTAGTTGACAGACGCCGTTCCCTCCTAGCCAGGAACAAGTATAGAAATGGGATTTGCAGGAAACCAGTTGCCATATGGTACCTGGAACCCTGGTGGCACAGTGGTTAAGAGCTCAGCTGCTAAGCAAAAGATTGGCAGTTTGAATCCACCAGCCACTCCTCTGTCCTCTAGGGTCGCTATGAGTCAGAATCGACTTGATATGGTACACACATGTGCAGAGCAGAGGGAATATTTATGGTGTATTCCAAACAGGGAAAGTGTTTCTCCACAAAGAGAAGAAACCATGGGAGTGAGAGAGAGGCTCTACTCCCAGACTCCATTATCAGGCTCATGGCTTCTGATTAGGCAATCCAGGTGGGGGTCGAAAGGCTGTACAATAGACTGCTCTCCCCTTTTCCAACACACAGGGATTAAAGAGTAAAGCCAGGAGAAACATAATGTCTGTCAAGAGGACAGGATTTGAGTTCAGGTCTGTGTGACTCTTAGTAATCAGCGCCTCTGCTCAGATCTCAATTCACCAACCTGACTTTGTGGGGCACAAATCCCAACACGTGAGAGATGCATATTACAAGTTATTTCCTTTTTTTCCCCAGTGCCTAATGGGGTGATGTAATCTCATGCCCGAAGTCACCTAGATTGCAGAGGGATAAGAATCGGGATCAGCACAAATCTGGTTCCTATGAGGCCAAGGTTGACATACCTCCACTCTCCAACTTTTCATTATTTCTGACCCCAGCTGCCACTCTCTCCTTCTCTGCTGCGTTTGATAATTTGTTGCAATCGCCACACAGAACTCACAGACAGTACTCACAATTATGGGGTTTATTAGGGAAGTAACAGGCAACTTCATCAGTCAGGACAGCTTCCAACAAAGATGGCTCCCTCAGCTCCTCTCAGCTGACCACCCTTCTCAACACTGCCAGCCAATGGCCCTTCTCTGCCGTGCACACACGCTTCTCTGCCATCGGCCTTCCCGCTATCGGCAGCTTCACTGCTAACTGGGCCAACTCATGGCCAGCGTAGTGGTGCATTTCGCTGCTGCTATCCTCGCAGCAGCTTTCTGCCATCACCTCCAGCTCTGCCATTGGGCCCTTCTTCCAGGCCTCTTGCCAATAGCGCTGCTGCCAGGCCCCTTCCTGGGCCATTCTACGGCCAGGCCCGTCTAGGTCTCTATCATGTTTGGGCAAGTGTTACAGCTCTTTAGTTCCACTGAAAAGTGCCCAGAAGCACCCCACTCCACCAGCAAGCCTCTTGCATGAAGGTGCTCAGCTCTGTCCCTCTCCGTGGGCCAGCAAGCCCAGCGCAGATGTCTGCCAGTCCCATGGTCCTTGCTGCTCGTACTGCTGCTGCTGTTTCTCTGCCCTATGTTCTGCTGTGCTTGCCACCATCTCGTGTCATCTTGCGCCATCTTCAATGTTACAGTTCTTGACCTCTATTACAGCTCTTTAGGAGGTTCCCTCCTCCTCTCTTCCACTGCCTCTCTAAAAACCACTGTGGGGTTCACTGCCTATATAAGCAAGCTCTTTATCAATGTCAAGGCATGGCCCTCCCTGCAGGACCACAAACCAACTAATTCCTGCAAGTCACTCAATCCTATTGAGTGGTTTTACATACCAAATTTGCATAGTATATTGACCAATCCCTGGTGTGTAAAATCGACCAATCACAGGGCAGACCGTGGCCCAACAAATCATTTTTGGTAGAATTTTAAATGCAAAGTGAGAAAAACCATATATAAGACAAGCACATTGCACTGCAGGGGACCATGAGTAAGCTAATTCTCTGGAAACCTTAACCTGACACCCCAGGTCCACCTGACATGCCCATTATATTCTCCTTGTCAATACCTCCTTAAAGAACCTACCATGTGACCCTGACCCATCACACCCATCACTACTCACCACCCTTAGCCCCTACCAACTCCTGTTCATGCTCTAGCTACAGCTGATTGGACCAGGGATGGTCACTGATACAGAGTTAACTAATCCATTCCTTGAAAGTGTCTGGCCACATTCTTCAGCTTGCAAATTGAACTAAAGAACCCAGACTTGGCAGCTAGTATGATGGATGGGGCCCAACATCTGTAAGATACTATGGATTCAGGACCTGATTTGATACTGAGGTGACTAAGAGTTACAAGGAAGCCAAACTCTTGGAGACTTAGAATAAAAAGGATGGGGGAGGACATCATTATGCATAGAAGAGATCAGACCTGATCCTTAGAGAAAACAAGAGACTCAAGACGCCACAGAGAGTAATTGCTGGACAAATTGCCAAGTCTTCTGCAGTCTGGCTATTCTTAAAACTGGGCTTCTTGGGATGCCCCTATATGTTTTCCATAAGTCCTATATACTAAAGCATGAGCATATTTTGTTTCTTGTTGCCAAATGATCTATGCTTAACACATCAGTATTTGCAAAAATGGACAGTTAAGTGTGTGTGGCCCAGAGTGACTAAGATGAAGAGAAGAAAGTCTTAAGACAGACTCCCACCCTTGACTTACCCCATTGCCTCATCTGGGTAAAGCCAAAGGGGAAGCAGTGTTGGAGACAGCCTGAGAAGGGGGAAGCCCTGTAAAAATATACAAAAATTTCTGCTGCAGAAATTCCTGACTCTTGTAGTGAGTGTTAGAAGGGAAGGAGAAACTGGAGAAGAACACACAAAAATTAACATTTCAACAAATTCTGTTTTCACATCTCCTTTTTATGTTAGGTTCTCAGGAGATGGCTTGGTAACTTGGTTGGGTTTCAGCAAAGAATGGAACAGAGTCCCAAGTGAATGTTGCATGAGAACCAGTGGAAGCTGCGTGGCCATTTCTGACC